CAGACACCTGTCTTTTCAAACCAAGACATAAGTGCAGGTCTGACCTACACCTCTCACAGACCTATTGCTTGGGCCAAATTAAAATACTATTTGATGTAATGTTATCACAAGCATATCATCAAGCACCACCGCAATACAAAACCAGAGTCTGAAGATGGTTATCCTGTACATGGAAACCAAAAACAAAGCAAAAGAAAAATCTTCAGAGTTGTACAAAGGAATGAGGAGATATTGAGCTATTCTATACATATTTGACACAACTACAAGAGCACCTCCATTTTCTATCATTTCTCTCTGCAATCACCTCACCAGTCCGAGGTGCAATTTGTGATTAGTATGGCAAATCAGTAAGAACTGCTGTCCTACAACCCATGAACTTTGCATAGCTGGTTATTACTGCAGCTGCTAATGCTGGCTCCATTTATTCTTCTCTAGGACTGACAGCTACTTCTGTGGATTTTTTACAAATCATTCTCAACTTTCAGTTGTTACTGATTTCACATGAAGATGCACTCCAGTTTTACTGATTGGAGCAAAAGTAAAGCTAGGAATGCCAGAAGATTATCAGGATCTAGACTGAATCTGGATGATGCGAACTGAATGTAGAAAGAGATCAGATCACCTATACTCAGTGGGTAAAAAATAAATCCACTATTCCATAATACAAGACGGATTACTAAATATATGCTTTAAACACAGTTTTCACAATTTGTGTTAATGTTGTCATGGGACTTCTGAATCTGGAGATCCTACTGCTCATGTCATTGCGCTTTGTCACTGTGCTACATTCCCTCAGCCTTTAGTAGCTAATTCCTCCAAACTGATATATTTAAAGAGCACAATTAAAAAAAAAAAGACATGACAGATTCCTACCACTTAACTTGGAACACTGCACAATTACAGGATCTGAGAGTCATGTGATACCTAACCACTGCAATGAAGCTACACTTATCTCAGTAAATGTACACACAGACACCCTGAAGCCCACCCTAGCTCTATGAAAAGCTACATATGCATTCCTAAATGTATGCTTTTCCTCACCTGAGCAGAAAAACTAATGGCTCAGGCTTTGATCATATGCTTTTTCCATCTAAATAAAGAATAATCCCACTTCACAAGTTCCCAAATAGCTCATACCTTCATCTCAAATATTTTTTACACTTTCAGTGTAAACTTTTCACTTCTCTGACAGCTATGAAAATATGCTAAATTTGATATTCAAGGAAGAGTCACATTTCACTCTCCAATGCACTGAATTCATTTTGCATCATAGATTAGTTTCTTCCACAAACATGCAGAAGTAACAATGGCAACCTTTCCTTCTACCCTTATACAACAACTTGTATGAAGAACGATCTCCTTTGTGATTAACAAATAAGTGCGGCAAAGCTGACCTCAAACCCAAGAAATGTACATGAAAATAAGGAACACACAACTGGTACTGAGATTTCCTTTCAAGCACAGGGTTTCATCTACACTTTACCATAAAGTGAAGTCTGTGACCTGTCTGATATTGCCAGTCCCCAAATTCACACCAGACTCTTCAAAATTGACATTTTAAGTATGGTTTATGCTGACAAATTTAGTAGCAGCAGAAAGCATACAAGTTTTATCACTGAAAAAGGAATGCCTTGATGTCTGCCACTTATTCTTAATCCTCCTGTATCTATTGAAGATTACTAAAACAGGTCTCGGGTCAGCAAAGCAAAGTTAATACTGAAAGGGCCATGGGTTTCATTTTGAAGGGACACAGGTTTCATTTTGAAGAACCTTATTCTAAACATTTCTCTATTTCTATTAGTCTCTTGAACAGAGCTACTCCGATGGAAAAGACGGGAAAAAAATGCCAATATGTCAATTTTGGAAATAGAATTTGCATGTAAAAGCAACAGATACTACTACTGTACAACTCTTTCTCTGTCCAAAAAAAGTGTTTCCTTTTCAAAGTAGTATCTCACTTGGCACCAAGAATTCTCTTACTCACAGTACAGTGAGTTTCTTGCAGCAGACAGAGGTCCTGACTTCAGTCAAAAGACACACAGATATTTCCGAAGCCCAACAGGGCACAAGATAGATGTGTTCCTTAATGCCATGTTTGGTAATGGATTAGCCAAAGGTCTCTACATATGAACTGGCATCGCAATGGTGACTTGTCAGTGTCTGTTAAAAAGAAAAAATAATCTCAAGAAGCTCTGGGTTAATAAGTTATTACTCCTCCTTAAAGCTAGAGGTGTTTGTTAATAATTGAACTACACAGTGTTATAGACCACTCTACAAATTTTGAGACTCTTTCGCTCAAATAGGTAAGAATCGGGACTCACAGACTTCTTGTACAATCCCCCAGTGATACACACTTAGAGAAGAGCTAAGTGTTTTCAAATTAGGCTCCACTTCTAACAAGCGAGCTTTCCCTGTCCCTGCCTGGCTAAGACTGAGCCTTAAATGGCAAGCGCTGCGAAAGCATTTGAAGCAGTGGGACTTGCCTAGGCAGCACTTCAAAACACAGGAAATCCCAGTGTTTTATTTTTAATTGTCTTTCATATTTTCAATTACTGCTCTCTGCTCTGCTGCATCAGTAACAATGCCTTTCTGTTCCCTTCTGCAGAGCCTGACACTAACAAATTACCACTCACAGCAAAAGGAATGGGCTCATTTTGGCACACAGTACCAGGTTCCCAAAACGAAGACTAACTTTGAGACAACCAGAAGTGCCAGGTCTTAGAACGGAAGTGGCATTAGCATTACCGAGAAGGTAAGGTAGCTGTTAAGCACTAAAACCAAACCAGCGATTATGTCAGTCAGTTCTAAAAAAGCCTGAATCTCCTAAATGAGAAGCATAAAAGTTATAACACATGGTTTTAAAAGTTGGTTGGAGTGACAAGCAAAGCACAAAGGATCAAAAGAAGCACAAAACAAAACAAACAAAAACCACAAAGATGGAAGGAGAGAAAACACACTGCAAAGGAACCTTCTGAACATGAAAAATACATCAACTTGTACCAGCAACAGAAGACACCCTGGGGTCATTCCCTCGTTAGCATTCTCTCACAAGCCTCATTTTATCAGCAAGAGGAAAACTAAGTGCAATTGCCTTCACATTGTGCTTCACCTCTAAAGCTTTTCTCCTTTGCTCACAGAATGTTAGTAGTTATTTAGATTGCACCATAGGTAGTATCACAATCACAGGAGCCTTAACAACTGTGTTTACAGAGGAGTGTATTAGAAAGGTGTAAGTGGCATTAAACTTAATTTTCTGTTGTGTACATGTGGTACATTTGATCTTTCAAAAAAGGCCATTCACTACAAGCTTTGCATTGTTTTATTTTAAAAGGTGTGCGTAGCCAGTTCCATGGCACACATACTGCCAACAAACAACCTGTGAAAGGGAATCGCCAAAACCAGGTGCTATTAAAAATCTTTCCATACTTCATCTGCTCCCCCTTCCTCCCCCAAAATGACATAAAAAGCAAACACCTTGCAGCAGAGCCTGAAAATTAACCAGATGGGGCTGAATGGAAGCAATTTCACACTTGCAGACTTTTTGAAATTAAGTCGGGGTACGTTGCACATAGCAACTGGACCAAGTGCCCCTGTACAGTGCAAGGGGACAGCTGTCCTCCCAGCTACCTAGAATTCAACTATCATTTCTACAGCCCATGTTAATCTTAGAATTGCATCTGGAAATGAAATAGGTTAATGTGTACCCTTTCAAAATACTGGTGGCAGCATTTTGCAAGAGATGATACTTTCAATTTAGGGTTTATTTCCAGCCCCAAAAGTCAAAATAATCAAACATACAATTCTTGATACCAAACCCAGAATACAGGAAATCTCAGAGTTTATCTAAGCCAGCACTACTTCTGGTGAGTGGATCGCTATGATCCGTAAGTCAAGAACACCCCACACCCATCCCCATTCGCAGGCAGCAATAGTCAGAAGTCAGTTCTGCTTGGGGTAATGCCTGTCAGCAGACAGTTACTAAGGCTGTCTTTAAATAAGTAAGTTCCCACCTTTTCTCTCTTAAAAAAGACAGAACACAGTAGGAATATAAAGCTGTCCTCGGGGTTTTTTTTCCTGCAGGAGTGTGACTGGTCTTGCATTAGAAAAGGTTACATTGCTGTAAGCTCAGTACTCACCTGCCAGACAGATGAGCTCCTTCCTAGGCATACTGCCCCAAAATAATTCTAGTTTCAAACGATCCACTTAATAGAAAAATCTTAAACTAGCCTTAAAGGAAAGCCTTTTTTTTTTTAGGTATAACTGATAGCCATCAGAATGCTCATCCCTGTCAGATCAACTGAAAGCGAATACAAACTTATAACCAAGTTACCATGGCTCATTATGTTACCGCAGGTTAGCAGAGCTGTGGTAATCAATCATCTTCACATCCAGCCCACAGCAATTACAGGGTATTAAGCCCCACCTTGAACAGCAAAGGAATTTCAGGCCAGTCTAAAACAAATTATTTTATTTTGGATTTGCTGTGGTCACACCGTTATCTTTGCTCTTGATGCATAGCGACCTGCTAAGCTGTTGTAACTGGATTGCAGTTCTAAGTCCTACAGCTTTCAAGAAAGTCACTTTGTGTGGCTTAACTCCAGACACTCCAAACTGTGGCCTTATTTTAACCTTTTTTAATCTTTACTTTTTGTGTCATCAGTCTGAAGACAAAATGCTACATTATTCCACTGCTGACTGTTACTGCTGACACAAAACAAAGTCCCACTACACCTGCCAGCCTGCCCAGTTAATAAATGGCACAATTTGGCCTGCCCCAGTGCAGGCAAACCAAGACTCTTACCTGCTCGGGGCTCTATTGTCTTGTTGGAACCTGCATCCATAAAGACAAACCGTCCACCACCAAAGTCTTCAGTGTAGTCAGAGAGATAGAGCAGGGAAGTATAATCAAAGGAGCCATAAGTTACCTAGGAGTAAACAACATTACCAAAAATTACCAAATTCTACTCTCAAGTCTGCAGAGTACAAATAATTAAGCAGATGGATCTGACGCATTTTTCTAAATTTCCAGTTTTCACGTATTTAAAGGGGTCTCTGAAAGCTGAAAACATTCTTTTGTAGAAGTGATATATGTTTATTAGTCTATTCTATTGTGTTCACACACACACTACAGATAAGACTAGCATATTTATTACTTCTATGATTAGTTTCCATAATTAAAAAAGTGCTCCTATTGATTTCTGTCATCCTAAGTCTACTAAACAGCAAAAGTCAACATAGTATCAGAAGTTACACCTCTGCATTGTATCAAAAATAGAAGGGCTCGGATCTATTTATACTATTTCAAGATAAAATTTCACCATAAGGTTAATGAGACCAAAGAACAGCCTGTGACTAATTAATTTACTCGTTATCTAATCACAGTTATAGGATTCTGGAAACCTCACCTTTTACTCTTTCACCAGCTACTGTGCAGGAGCTTCACGGTAACAGTGAAACACACCTTCCAAGGAAACCTGCATTTGTTGGAGGAACTTCTACTCTTTTCCATACAGGTTTTGTTTAAAAATCTTCAAATCTAACTTTCAAAGTCTCTGCTTCTTCTCAGCCTACAATCCAAACATCTCATTTTAAGTATAACAAGGTGATTTTCCTTCCTTTTAAAGTATTATTTTTGCTTGGTATGTACGTTGAAGATGGAGAAACATAATACTATATATTAATGCCCACAGTGAAGCTATCTAAATATTTAACACTTGAATTTATCTGATTCTGAAAAAATATTTCTTTTTCATACTACATGTCACCAACAATTAAAGATATACTTAGAATCAATGGCTGTATTCTCCAATTTCTTTACAGTGTATCGCAACTCAAGTTCTGCATCACACTGTCACACAGTGACATGTGCAGCACAGTAGTAGTCAGCATTTGCAGAGTGTTTTGACTGACCCGGTGACTGCCAGAGGTAGGTGCTACTTCCAAACTTAAAAGTTTTCTAAATATTTTCCATTTTGTTTTAAGTTACATTCATTAGTGCCAGTGAAATTCTGGCTCAACAGCAGTTGCACATACTATTCTGCAAGGGCAAGGACTAAAGAGAACATAACAGCAGATGGAATAGGAAGACATTTTCATTCTTACTCGTTTTATTATTTTGGCCATAAGGGCTTAACGGAAAAGCACCAAATTTGGTGATATGCTGCACTACACAGGCCAAATCACAAGAATGAGAGAAATGTCTTGGTGATCCCCTCCTCCCCATTACCACCCAAACCTTTGTAGCAATACAAGGCAATAAATAGGAATTAATGAGTATGTGGGACTGCAGCACCATGAAAAGAGGCATGCTACAGCCCTCTTCATGCAATCAGCTTTGCAAAGCTATTTTCACCTTCATTGATTTGGTGATAAGACTTCCAGTCAGTTTAAGGAAATCTTCTGGCCAGTGAAGGCAATAGACAGTGAAGAAGTCTGTTCAACTCATACTTGCAAGTCTAATGATTAAAATTGCTTTTCTGAACTCCAGTGGTGCAGCAGTCTTTGCTCCGTCAGTGCACTCTCCATCCTCTCCGAGGTGGCTTTACCAATTCTGAGTTTTAAGAGCTGACTACAAACCATTTTAAAAGCCTAGCCAAATACATCTGATTTCTATAGACTACTTATTTGGGTAACCAAGTATGCAATGGAAAAATGGCTTTTCTGTTCCTGTCCTTGTTCATTACTCTCAGAGGGCAGTCAGGCCTGAGAAATGCAACACTATGGAAAGCAGGCACCCAATTAGACTCCGTTATTGAAAATGACTAGAAGTCCCCCATGTATATCAAATATATTTATTACCCTGGTAATGATTTCCAATACCAGAAAGGTTAATAATTGAACCATAAATAAATAAAGTTCAAACTATGTGAGAAAAGCTGTCATTAAAACCAGGTGATAAGCCATACAGGCACACTGCAGCAAAACAAATTTATATAGCTCCTTATGAACAATTCAACAGAAAAAAAATGTAGGCATTCCCATTCAGCCTGATACTTTGTACAGTTAGTGGGCTCTTTTTGAGCACCCTTTACCCAAATAAGTCAAACTCAGCTAATATTTAATGGCAGATGCTTAAAATTATATTTATATGATACTTCTTTAAAGGCTATTATTGTAAATACAACTCATTGTCAGAATTAGCCAGCCACATTTTGCAGTGTGGCACGCTTGGGTTTTTGAGGGACCAATGTTTATACGCAACTAAACAGTTGCGGGAACATGCAACAGGCCTGCAGTCACTAAGGCAGACACGTAGGACAGCGTCCTCTGCTTTCCATCACAGAAGAAGATACAAACATGCATCCACTTTCCCATCAGCACAGGTCTAGCACGACATCTTGCAAAAATAAGAGTCAAAACTGCTCTTTTCTTGTAAGCCTCCACCTATCTCTTTGTGCAGATAATCACAAGAATAGCCTTGATAGATACTTCTAGTGTCCTCTATATTGGCAGTATTTATCTAGTAGACAATATAAGACCAAATAGCATGTCTGAATTACAAGGGGCTGTAGGCAAGGTGAGGTAACAGGTCTGAGCAGACGCTAGAATAAACTTCCTTGGATTTCAAAGAAATGCTGTCCTAAGGCAGAAGTAAGATCCTTTGATGTGTTTCATTAACATCTAACAACATGAGGGGAAGAAAAGGAAAAAAAAAAAAAGGAGTGAAAAGTCTGCTAGAACAGAGAGCAGCTGCTATCAGTGATAGCCTCAGCAGCCAGAGGAGAGAAGGCTGCTGGAAGGGTTAGGGAGATTGATGGCATATCGCAGGTAAGGAGACTTGAAGGTTTGGCTTGTTCAGCTTAAAGAAAGGCTGAAAGGGATATGACTGCTGCCCATAAATTCATGGGGATGGGAGGATGTGTAACTGGGAGGAGGGAGGAAAAAAATAGCTATGAACTGATTATGAACAAGTTTAGGCTAAAAGAAAATTTGTACTGAAGTCCTGGAATAGCTCCGACAGAAGAAATTCAAGGAAAACAAACCAAAACTGATCTTCTGGTGGAGGCTGACAATTCTGTGAAGGATGACGGGATCCTCACCCAGGCAGGGGATTGCAGAAATCTTCAAGTCCCACATCACTTCTATTAGGGAATATTATAAGACTATACTTCCATCAGAGCTGAGCAGGCAACAGCAATTCCATTATAAATCAGACATTTGAAAGGCTCAGCTCCAAACAAATTCCATCCAAGATGTAACTCTACATCTTAAGCCCACACTCTCTTAATTTGATTTAGATGCTTATAAATTCAATAAGATTAAACTAGTCATTTGGGCGATTTTAGGGTTTCCACTCGTATGTAACTAAAAACCAAATAAATTTTAGGGAAAAACCGAAGCCTCAAACACACACAATAGATCTGTGCTACTCCGTCATGCAGTTAAAGTCTCCCAAACCAAGGATATTCAGATTGAAAAATATAATTGCAATAGACTCAGCAATATAGGGAAAAAGCAAGAGGGGTATCTGTCTGCTCTAAGGAGCCTACATCTTTGAACCAAAAAAAAAAAAGTGTCAGATTCGTTTTTCAAAGGCTTAATTTTATCTTTCTTTTGGAAAGAGGTGGGAGGGGGGAAGAATGCTGAAGTCTTCTAGGAGCAACCTTCACCATTTAATTATCATGCAGAAATAGATAAAGTGACTTGTTCTGTTCCAAGGGGAAAGCATAAATAGTGATACCACACAATAGCATCCAACAAACTCGCAAAAATATTTAACATGCTGAGTTTTATTGACCTTTCTTCAACTCGCTAGCATTCACACTTGTTTTGGAGGCCACATAAGAATACTACTGCTTTTATCTGGGAAGTATTTCCTACCTCAGATCAATAACAACGCATACTTGTTTTTCTTACCTTCAACTGCAGTCTGGAAGTGGTAAGTGAAACTTAGTTTGTTGGAGAAATTAAAACACAAGGCAGGCCAACTGCACTGAAGACAACCCGTGAAGCTACACAACTTGTCTATCCTGTTTAGCCTTCTCTGAAGTATTTTCTGACCTACTGACCTTCTATTTGAATTCAGCCTCCTGCATAGCCTGATCAGCTATAAATACTTATTTTTTACTTCTTTCTAGAAGATACAGATATATATAACGTACACCTATAGCAGGCTGAACTTACATGCAGACAAATATTCTACACATACTGTAACATTTTCTGGAAGCCATGATTTGGCAAACACGCATGTGAATGCTACATCCAGATAGCTCTGTTCCAGTTGCACTTAAGAGGAAAATAATATCAGACCTTTTGACACAAACAGAAGTTAGAGAGGAAAGAGTAATTAGAGGCTTGGTGGTGAAGCAAGGAAAGGATCTAAATTAATCCTCTGATGCCAATTCAAGTGGATGATTCACCAGAAGTGAAGGTGGCCAGCGTCCAGTAGCAATGATACATGATGATGTAATTTGGACTTTCATGATGGACATGAAGTGAACAGGACAAAGGATGTATCCCTATCAGATGCTATTTAAGGCATCATTAGCCTGGTTCAAACTCAGAATTTTCAACCAGGCAATGTAAACCGCTATCATTTAAACTATAGAAGTAACTGTGTTATCTGGCAATAGCTGAAGTCTTTTACCCTAGAGAAGAGATGAACCACTAAGCTGGGGCAGTTCCCACAAGAACGATCCCAGCCTGTAGCGGCTGGTCCATCTCTCAACACCATCTGCACCGGCAGCAGCGTTTGCTCTATGTGAAGGCCAAAGAGTGAGGAATGGACCCCCAAGTCATGAGCTCAAGAACCACTTACAAGAAGTTTGTTCTAGGTCTCTATTCCACAGCACCCGCAAAGCCCCTTCACTGTGGCTGGGGGCCAGGAAAGTTCTGTTCACTTGTGCTCTCCCAAAAAACGGAAAAGAACTGATCCACACAAGGCTCCCAGCTCAGCATGCACCGTTGCTGTCACAACAGCACAGACAATGGCACAGCGTTGGCATATTCACACGCAATCCTTACTGCAAGAATGCTCTTGAACGAGAATGAAAATAAGCACATTAAAATATATTGGATCAAACCTGGCACATAAGTTTAAGGCACAGACAAAAAGCACTTCAATGGTCTGAATGCTTTAGCTTTCCCAATAGACAACTTACTGCAGAAGTCAGCTGCTACAGAACTGAAAAATGTTCAAACTACTCATATAGAATAAAGAGGACAAGCTACAGTTTTTAACTGAGTGTTATCTAAACAATACTTCTCTTCAAAAATACCTTGAAATGGAGCATAAGTCACATGTCCCTATTTTACAGAAGGTATGCTATTGGGGGCGGATGGGGTGGGGGGCACAAATTATGAACAAAGTGTTTAGTAACTGCCCCAACCGGGATAATTCTCTTCACTGCTGTCATAAATCAGACCACCCAATTATTCAGTATAGAAGCTATTAAGGTTTAGGTTATGCATAGCAAGCTTAAGAGACCACATTTTGTGTTTGGTTTGTGTTTTGAATCTGGGAAGGGGGAGTTAGAAAAAGCCAAGGCCAATCAGCTGGTGTATCTGCTCCCTGAACAGACAGCCTGTGAGATAATAAACAAAATGTGGACAAAACAGATGGATAAAACCAGCAAAACATCTAGCCTGCTGTCCATCATCTACAGGCACTGTCTGGATGCCATAACAAAGAAGCAGCTTCTACAAAAAAAAACCACCAAATTCTCTTCATGGAAACAAATTTGTTTCTAAACGACAAAATAACTTTTATATTACAGGAAAGATTTGGGTAGAAACACTTACTTGTGATGTTATCCATTCACCTTATTAATTTACCAATACAAAACACATGCAGAAAAGAGTAAAGAGACTATTGGCAAGCCTAATGCTTGTGCAGACACAAATCTCATAGTAATAAATCAGAGTCTGAAATTCTAATACATTTTTTGGGTTGAAAGAAAGAAGTGGAGAAAATAGCCATCAGCTATTGAAATTAAATGCTTTATTTTCCATTGTAGCAGTCAGGTTCAGTTCTCAAGATGTGGAAAAACTGTACGAAATCTATGAATTTATTACACTTCACACAACCAGAATCACCAGTTTATTTGGTGTCTGTCCCTTGGAAAGGAGCACAACATGCAATTGCACTACCAGCACTAGTCAAAATAATCTGCACCTCAGAATCTTCCCTACCACCCCTGGTCCTAGGTCCACTCCTATTCAATGGTTACATCACGGCTTTTTAAACAAGAAGCATCCAAAAGCTGGTCTCATCTTTGTTATATCAGCAACTCCAAATTCCACCCTGCATTACTTTCTTCTTTCGAAGAGCAGCTGTATCAGGTATCACTGTCACCACGTTCTCTAAATTTAAGCTTACATGACAAGGGCAGAGCAGCTTACACAAATGTTGTGAGGAACAACAGACATTATACTGCCCTCAGACTGACTTTTTCCAGGAAATATTTTCAAGGCAAGGAATATTTCTCTGATTTTCCATCTTAGATGTTTCAGGTCATAGACTCAAGGTACACTGCTCACATACAGACTCTAGCACTGAGGCGCAACTTAGATTTTGATGGGATAAGTTGGGGTTTTTTTGTTCCGTCTTGGGTAATCCATAACTCTAATTTTTAAATCCTGAAGACATGAAATGTGGGTATTGTGGTGTGGGGTTTTTTTGTTTGTTTGGGTTTTGGGTTTTTTTTTTCCCCTGTCTGATTCTTCCATTGTTAGTTTGTATTCTGCTACACTGCACAGAACCTTTGAACTCAGTTAAATTCAGAAATAAACTCACTCCCAATCCCAAATCATTTAAGTCCATTGAGAAACTAAAGTATTTAAAGTAATTGAAGTATTAAGCTATGAGCCTACAGATAAAAGTCTATGCAGTTAAAAGTCACAATACTTACATTCTAAAAACAACAAGACATTGAACTATTGAAAGAGGGTACCATATGCTCATTGAAGAGCATGCAGCAAAAAAGCCTCAATTCACATATGACAAATATAAGTGTTAAACATTTAGCAAGAAGCTCAGACCAACTAACAGATTGATCACTTTGAAATAGTTCCTGCTAGACCTGGCTGAAAGAGCGATACCCTAACTGGAAACACAGGTTTGATGAAACTGAAACACCTTGTGGGTGCAGGTCAATTTAATCAATGTTTCTGGCACGAGATTCCTGAGTAGTCACTCACACAAAGTATTAATTCTAGCTGAACACTAAAGTAGAGAAAATGAAATAAAAAGAAATGTACTGGCCTATTTTTCTAAAACTCACTTGTCCTTCCAGTAGGTTCATCCTCCAAAGGATTTTTGCAAGCACCAGTTTTCAAACACGTTTGACTGATTATTTAACACAAAATGACTTCAAAGTGATCTAACAGTAACAGGAAACATTTGCATCCCATCTCAGCCTCCTACTTACCTTGTCAACATGTGGGTGCCAGTATTCATCATGTGTTGTCTTGGCTTCTGTGGTGTTTATCCTTGAGAAGAACGTTGGCTTAGTCAGGTACATGGAAGCAGAGCTGATACCAAATGCCTGAGCAATCCTTTGTTGAATTCTCTGTCTCACATCACTGCAAAGAACACAACACAGCACGCTAAGTGACACATCTCTCCTGCTTCTTCTGTCTTGTCCTTAGTTCACCATTATTGCTTCTTTAGAGCTAAACTTCTTCCCCATGATTTATCAGCTGAGGAACAAATACTCATACTAACTCTCTTACTTTGCCTTAAATAAAGGAGATACACTACATCAAAAACAAGGGACACTGCCCAGTGTTTTGGGTTGGGGTTTGTTTCGTTTTGGGGTTTTTTGGTTGTTTTTTGGTTTTGTTTTTTAATTCTCAGAATATCAAGAAAAAGAAATTGTCTCCTGTGGCATAAGGTTTTAAAGTTTCTTTGTGTAAGCAGACTCTTTTCCTGAAAAATTCCATGCACATCTCACTGTTTATTAGCTACTGAAAAGATTAAAGTGTTTCACATACATATTTTTTAATCCAAAGCAGGTACCTAGAGAGGTGTATCTTCACAAAGGGTTGCCTCGGAACAACCTTCAACTATTTTTACACTAATTTTGAACTAACCAATTAAGTCCCTGACACCATGAAACTCAGGGTTCTCAGTCAACATATGTAATGGTGTCATAACCAGATTCTCCTTAAAAAGGAATGCAAGATGTCTTTCCCAACTATTTTCAAAGATTCAACCAAACTAATTCTACCTCAGCTATTCCTTTTTTTCCTGGGAAACAGGAAGAAAAGAACAGGGTTTTTTATTTTTGAAAACAGAAGACTAATGTCAAAACCATTAAATTAAGTTAGAGCTGAGATTTTCAGGTATTTACATGGCTGCATGAACCGAGGTTTCAAGTTGAGAGCTACAGCAGCGTTTGTAAAACTGACATCAGGAAAGGATCTACAGGTCCTTCCTCTCATGCCTGTGGGAGCCTGATCTTTCTGTCTGTCTTCTTTCCAAGAAAGAGGACTTCAGCAGAGGCTGCCTTATGTTTCTTAAAAAGCATTAAATGTAATTGCTCATTTCACTTCATGAATTGAGGGCAGCTGACACTCTGAACAACCCAACACAGGAATTAATAGCCTTACCCACAAATATTCAAGTGGCATATTCCCTGGCTCTGACACCAGGTGGCCACTTGCATCAGCCAGCTGGAATACGAATAAATATATTGCTAAAATACTTGACGACAAACATGTTGTCCTTCATGTGTAAATGACATGACAAGATAAGCCAAATTTCAGCTTAGAAAGTACTATCGAGGAATGAACGAGCCCAGAAATTCTGGCTACCTTGGGGCTGGTACAGCAAGAGCTGTTCCTTCAGCCATTTCTCATGTGCACCCAGAAGAAACTGGAGCCTCAGGCAGGAGCCCCCCCTCCCTTCTTGATCCTGGCCCACTCATTCTTCATACTTTTTGCTCCATGTTCCCCATATCTCAAAAACTGTTGAGAGACCTCTGGTGCACCATAGCTACAAAGAAATGAATTCTTTATGCTGGAGAATGTAAGCATTCATTTCCATAAACACAGCAACTATTCTATCATTCAAACTGCTTAGAGCGTACCCTGGCTCTGTTCAGATGCACTAAACAGAGCTCTGCTATGGCAATAAATATGTGAGTACAGCACCCAGTCAACAATATAAGTAACAAATTAATCCCTCCCAGAATTTGGCAACAGCAGTCCTTGTACATTTGCACTGAGTCACTGGATAATATCAAAATGCACAGGCCAGACTCTGGGAAATGCAGAACAGAGCTCACTGAAAAAGGGCATATGACTACCTTCTATAAAAGCAGTTACTGAAATCTATTTTGGAGTCAGGGTGATGAGGAAGAAAAAAAAAAGCCAAGGTAGCAGCTAGAAGTCTAAGGAACATGAAACTTAAGAGAAAAGATGTTCACTAGAATGTAAAGTTGTCAGCTTAATGTATCAGCAGCAGCATAAAGGACTAAAATACCACAGAAAAGTTTCTGTAAGATACAAGTTCTGCCAGACCAGCAAAAAAAAAAAATGCACTGTTAGGAGTCACTGAAAACTGCAATTCGAGCACAGTGACAGGAACCCTCAAAGCTTTGCAAAACTACACAACTTCTCCAGCCCGCTTGTCAGCATCTCCGCACTGCTCTCACTGAAAAGCACCAGAGGCAGCAGAAGCAGGCAAAGCAGCACTCTTCTACAGCCAGAAAGTTTTAAACAGAAGCCATACATGCAGAATGAATAAAGGAAGAAAGCACACTATCAGCTCTCCCTCTGCTCATTCTGTGTCTCTACCTTAATACGTTGTAAGGTTTTTGGAATAAATCTTTGATGGTCCCATTTTCTACTGAAGGCGCAACCCTTAAACCAAGCGTCCAGATTTAAAGGTCTCTCTTCTGGATAAAGATGCCTCTATTACATGAAACGAGGAACTGCTGTAACGTACTTGGCAGATGGTGGTTAAAGCATCAGCCTAAAAACCATAATTGACTCTGAAGCAACATAATTTTGACAGTTTAGAAGCCAGCCTCCTGGCTCAGAATGCCTACTCACATTTGTTATTGTTGCAATCAGTGATACTTAGACATGAATTACATTTAGTTATTTCTCTCAAGAGTGTATTTTTAAACTGGCCTTGGTAAGGTAAGTGAGAGTAATGAAGATAAATGCTCCTAAGAATATCATAAAATCATTCATTAACAACATAAGGTACACAGTCCATGTTAAAGCACTGCCATTAATATGAACAGAAGGATTTAATAATGTATTTTGTACTAGATTTGTATCCAGGTGACTGAAACATCCCCTATATTGGCATGAAATACCCATGAGATATTGATGTTCCCTAGCAGTTGTCTCATCTCAGTGTAAGGATCAGAAATCTATAAAAATTATTGAAAAAACTAAATGTTTCTGTTCATGCGAAACAAACATTCTTTAGTAAGACACTCCCTCCATACACTCATATTATTTTTACAGAAAGGAAGGCAAAACAAACACTACTTCAAAAATAATCTCCACTGTCTTGGTGAGGCAGAAACTATATATTTTCTTTAAACAAAGTTCGAGAATAATCAAGCATCTCATTTCTGTGATTCTGGCAGAAGTAAACATATTTTAAATCACCTATAAAGACAACAGTATCTAAAAACAGTTGTTAAACGGAAATAAGCTTTAAGTGGTTAAAAATTTAAGTGGTTCAAATTTAAAAATTACCATACTAATTAAACTAATAAACCTATTTGGCTACTTAATACCATTTCCACCACTAGAGGGAGGTCATATTCTTTCACAAAGGCAAGAAAAAAAAAGACAAAGAGTTAAAACGTTCAAGTCAGATACATTTTAAATCATGAGAAAGCAACTGAAATGCATAACTAAAGATTTATTGCATCTAATCAACAAAGAACGCCTGCTCCTAAACTTTGGCCACACACCTTCAGACACATGGAACTCGTTACATTTGTTGTCTTCGTTAAGTATATGAGCAGGCCTACAGGAAAGCTAAGAGCACCAGATGCCAAAGCTATTACATTATAGCACTGTTTCATATTCTTAGGGGGAAAGTATGCTCTGCTTCTCTAGCCAGAACATTAGTAATTTGAAGTCCTTCCACTTCCTGCTTTACCATTTTTAATGTTTTGCTACACTTCACCCAAAAAACCCAAGTTCCTAATGAAATAGTAGCATAGGAGTGTCTTTATCATCTAACATAACGCCTCTTGGATAACATGTGTGAAATAGGAGTTAATGCTGAAGGATTTGACATCCCAGCTATAGTGTTCCAGCAAATAACCACAGGACTCAGATGAAGCAGCTCTCCTTGCTTGCAGGTCTGCAGGGCTGGCCTCAACCCCTTATGCAGAAAGGGGCGTGGGTGGTGCTGTAATCATTCCAACTACATTTACACCATCAATACTGTCCTGACATTGCTAAGGCAGCTAAGTTCAAAGCAGCAGATATTATTTATCAGGTAGTCACCAAAAGGTCCTTTTACCCATTTTCCTCAAGGCATCTCAATTCTCACAGAACCGCAAAAATCAATTGTATGTCTGAATCCAAAGGACGATTCCCTCCCAACCTGCACTCCACAAAAAAAATACAAAGTTATGTTTTGTGGTTCATTCAGCAGTTATTGAAAAATCTTTACCGATATAATGCAAAATCCTCTTCTGTGAAGATGTCTTGAATTTTATCCCCAAAGTACCTGAAAAATTAAGCAAAGTCTAAAAGAGGAGTTGCTGAATCAGACTGCCTGAGTAATATCAAGATGCATTCTCACCCCCATCTGTGCTTTACCCACAACCAAAAAGCGAAAACACAACACAAGAAGTCCTACAAATGCTTTTGAGTGTGGTGTTCCAAAAGCCTTGCCAAAAGATTAAATAATAAAAGATTAAATGATCGAGATGCAGCAGCTGATAATAGAACTTCCCAGGTGTTTGGAAGACTCCCCCTCCAAATCATGAAATAAGCATATGGATTCAGGTTTTTAAGAGTTCAGACTATTTGATTTCTTCCACTGCTGACAAACTAGACCATAACTATGGAAAAAAAATACTATTTATTTACAGGTGCAAGAAGAACTCTGAAAATAAAGGTAACAGTAGCTTTCAAAGAGCCCAGTTCAACAAAAGATCAGTTTTCATGCCACAAAAGCTCTTTAACTGGTCATGGAAACTGCGGTGAACCTAACCAACTTCTACAGTTTGTCATTACTAACCCCAGCCCACAGGGCTTGAGAAATCTGAAAAGCAATGAGCACTGAAGTGTAGGGTAACAAGAGAGGCAGCAAACCACAGCCCCATTTTACCTGTACAGATTAACAAAATGCTTCCCCAGTGAAAGAGCTCCAGAGTGCAAGTCCAAAATCGATGCCTGGGAAAGGAAACAAAGTAGGAAAAATGAGCCTGAAAAGGTTTTATCATTATTTAACTATGACCTTTAATAACTGTTCCAAGTTGGCTCTCCCTTTCCACAGTCTCCCAAGTAAAAATATTAGTTTCTAGCATTTGAGTTCACAATACCAATGCTTCCTTTACAACTACAGGTCTCCCTCAATTTGCTATATAGATGCACAAAATATAAGGTACTAGGGAAAAAAACACAGCACTGCTATTCCTGAGATTCAGATCTGATACAGGGACTTGCCAGAGTCTTCCTCCATGGGCTAGGGGTAAGACACTGTGTTCCTGGATCCCTTCTTGAAGACATTTCCCTTCCACACAAAGATGACTAATTTTCCAATATTTGTGAGGCACTCAAATAGCAGCACTAATATTTATCTTGCCCAACATTTGTTATTAAAACTTCTCCTTCACCATGAGTTCCTGTATACTTCTTGTATTTAATACAGACATAAAAGTCTGTTTAAAAGAACAATTACAATTCTAAGGCTTACTAGAGCCAAACTTTCTTTTCCTCAATCTCTAAACCGCTGTAAAAGAAAACCAAAGAATGAAAAGTTCTTACATATGAAAATTCAATCCATTTCTCCATCTGATTCAAGCCAAACGCTTCTGCTGAGCTCCAGACCAAGCTAAAAAGACTAGTATTCAGATTTGCCAGGATAGAGTGCTCTCAGGATTATAAATTATTTCTCTAAATTGAATAAAAGTACACTTTTGTATGTCCCTTGCTGTCCACAAAATACATGTTTGTTTTGCATCGGTTCAACAGTATTTAACAGTATGACTGCTTAATAGCAGTCTTTTTTTATACTGGAAATATGAAGTAGCAACAGCTAATTAACCTGACCAGCACCAAAGTAATGACATCTTTGATATACAATATTCAGGCAAAAGCAGTCATCTTGGAATTTGGCATTTCTTGATGCACCACATACCATTCACATTATTTAACAAAGTCCAAACAATAATAATACCACTAGGTGAGCTGCCTGGAAAGAATGATAACTTCCATCTTACCAGCAACAAGAATTTCTGGGCATGGTTGGAACACTGCTGTTTGAAGCCATTTTGTACCTTTACCCAAAGGCAGGCAGGTTGGTGAATAAGCAGCAGCAAATCATCAGCCCACAGGCACGTCAGAGCTGCAGTGCCAGGCCAGCAGTACAGCTTCACGTCCACCCCTAGTCTCAAAGCACTTTTCTCCCTCCTCCTCTGGATCATGTTGGAGGAAGACACCCAGGAAAATCTCTCAGCAAAAGAAAATTCCCACAGGCCCAATTGCTCTGAGCTTCAGAGCCGAATCAGGGGAACTCCGCTAAAGACTCCTTCTAAAAGGAGCTAGTAACAACCTTCTTTTAAAAAACCTACCCAAAGAATTTTATTTACCCCTTTAAAAATATATAAAGTAACAAGCTGTTCAAGTGGACATAGCATGAGCCTTTCAGACCTCCCCTTCCCACCATTCTCCAAAAGCTTCACCGGACTGTTATAGAAACAAATAATCTCACACTCATGCAAGAGCAGTTCTTGTAATAAGCTTTACTCAAGCTTCAGAAGCAAAATATTTTCATTTATTGGTTTCTGGTTCTGTACAATAATCTAAGCTACAGCTAGAAGTAAAACTGCTCCTGTGTAGCTTCAAAAATATGCTTGTGATCATGCTAAAGTAAATTATAAGGAGAAGTAGCAGGACATCAGAAAAAGTTAATTTTTTTAAAAATCCCTTTCAAATACTTTCAACATGCTTTCCAAACATACAGATTTCTTCTCGCTCCTCAAGCTCCAGATGATTATAGTTGGAAAGATCCAAAATAACCAGATGAGTCAATAAGAGACACCCCCAAGAACTGTAGGTATTCACAGCTGAAAAGATAACAGCTATGATATAAAGCCCAGAAAAGCCAGATAAAGACAACTGAAAAGGGAATCTGAAAAAATAAAGAATATTCTTCAGGATTGTTTCAGACAGGGGAAAACAGCTGAATGCCAAACAGACAGGGACTTGATTATACATGAGCACAGAGCTATTTGTTTAACAGCTACCTTGGAAAGAAACTGTAACGCATTTATTTTGGTCTCTGCCATTTCAGAACATTAAACATCTTCAGCATCATTTCCTACACTGAGGATACCTCAGAGGAAGCCTGTGTCACCACTGTTATTTCAAATTCAGCTATCTGATCAAGGGTTAGCCTGCAATTCAGGTCAGTGTTCCCAGGCTGAAAGCTCTACAAAGTTTATCTAAAGATGGCAGGAACACTGCAAACACAGATCCCCACACACCTATTTCCAAGAGATTCTTTAACAGAACTACCCCAATATCCTGGTTTACAGAAATTCTATTGAAAGAAAATTGAACTTCCTTTAGAAAAATAAAGTAGAAATCTATGTTCTTTTGTACCTTCAGTGTTGTTAATCCCACATTCTCTCTCACTCCTAAAAGAACGGAAAAGGATCTTGCAAGTAACCACCGCTTCTCAGCCTGTGGCAAAAAAGATGAATTTCCCCATCTTGCAAAGCATGAAAGGCCATGCCTTTGATCCTCACTAAAAGGGATTGCCAATCATTAAATATATACTCACTTCTACAGCAATTCTTCCACCCCTTAGAAAGTTTTAAGGGATACTTTTAAAGAAAACAGCAGACACTGATCAAAAAAGAGACACAAATGCAAAAACTCAAACTGGAATCTGGAGAGGAACTGGTTGTATCTAGTATTTTATCTAGTGCAAACTTGTACTGGACTCCAGCCAAATACTGCATTTGATTTCCACAGTAATAACCTGTACCTCCAGCACTCTGGATGGTGTATAAATTAGACTGGTTACACTTGTGTCTCAATTAGTCAGCGTAACTTTTAAAAGACATTACCCTAAGAATGTACCCCTTGAACAAAAAGGAGCTGGTAGCACTCAAAACCTTCCCCAATCCTCCTGTGGGAATGCTCACACACTCGAGCAGAGAAGAGGGCAGAGCAGTGGAGGTTCTACACAGCCACCGATTCCTGGGCAGATCAAACTTGCTGTCACTGCAGGCAGCCTCATATTGACTCTGAAAACACTATCGCCTTTAAATACCCTTCCCTACCTGAATCTTGAGAGTAGACAGACAAGGGTTACATCCTTAGGGCAATGCCTCTTAAAACACACTGACTAATTATGAGACACAAGTGTAACCAATCTAATTTACACACCATCCAGAGTGCTGGAGGTACAGGTTATTTTGTGGAAATTAAATGCAGTATTGGACTGTGGAGTCCAGTACAAGTTTACGGTAGATAAATATTAGATACAACCAGTTCCTCTCCAGCTTCCAAGAGTTAAGTCTAGACAATCACACAGCTATAAATGAAGTGAAAGACACACTGCCAAGTACGTCTTTCACTCATTGTTTCCTAAGTGCTATCAAGAGACTAATTAGGAAGGAAGAAAACTAGGCAGCCTGTAGCAGAGCTATGAGTAGGTCAAGTATTACGCAGAGGCTTTGTCTTCTCTGTGGAAAACACAGAGCTGACAGTTTTGAGGACTTCGGGGTTTGGTTGGGAGGGCTGAAAGCAGAATAAGTAGGGATATGGTCTGCAGAAAGACTGTTCTGTGCATGGGTCAGTGGGCCCACATCAGCAACCTTTGTTTGGCATCACAGCTACACAGGGTGTTTGCTCCTCCGAGTATTAAGAAATGTAAATGTTCCCCTGCAAAAGGGAGATCTAGGTGATAACTCCTGCCAGTTTGCTGCAACACAGGAACCAGACTGCAGCTGACTGGATGCACCAAGGGATTTTTTTTCTGGGACTTCTAAATAAGTGCCAATAGATCTGATAGTAAATGAGTCATTTCATTTACACTGGAGAGATGTTATGATGGCAGCACCTACAAAGACGGGAATGAATGAGTCATGACTAAAGTGGTAACGCAAGCAGAGGTGGCATGCAAGAAGTATTAGGTAGGGAAGAAAGGGAAAAGCCATTATCTTTATTAAAAAAAAAACTAAACTGAGGCAAACATCAAGAGAACTAAAGCAATTCACATCCTGTGAATGAGGAACACAGTATAAAACTATTTTAGAGAGACAGAGCCGTACAAGGGAAAGCAGCAGACTGGTGGGGAAGATGCTCCTGTTTGGATTCTGCTGAAAGTTAGACTAGAAGATTACAATGGCCTCTTCTAGCCTCACTCTGCGTGTGTGCGCAAATAAAAATAAATCTAGGAAAAATTACAGAGAAAGATAAAGAAAGCAAGCTCAGCATGATAACTGGGGCATGACTCCTGGGATGTTTCAATAATTCAGATGTTTGCCAGGACTCCCTCAACACAAAAGGATGGAAAAGGGAAACAAGGTTTTGTGCTATACTTCAGTACTCCAAGGAAGCAAGAAAGGCAGCAAACAAAGCGAGGAGAGAATTGAGAATCAAACTGCAAGTTTAGTTCTTTATGTTAATAAATTATATCCAGACACACAAACACAAATCCACATCTATGAATTCAAAATACAAGTATGGCAGACAGACAAAAAAAAAAATCAGACATGTTGCTTAAGAAGGAGTTAAGAGGAAATTAAGGGATTGATAATGAAAATGCAGTCTGCACCCCAGTAGAAATCCGAAGAAGTTTTATTTGGAATAGTGGAGATATTAAAGTGGCTATACAAAGAATTAAAAAGAATTAAACAAAAACAAGGAGTTAATTAAGGATTATTTTTTTAAGGAAAATATTAGTCTTAAAACAGCAGGCATAATTGGACAGAGTTATCCAAACACTCTAAAGCCTAAGCAATAAGCCAGGCCTAATCCAACAGGCTTGAGAGGCATACAGATAACGTAGCTATACAAAGTAAGACTTGAAACATTTTGTATGCTGTGTAGGTAAGAGATCTGAAAAGATAAAAGGCTCAAATGAAGAAAGACAGTTTCATCTATACATCACCAGCACACATCCATCAACATTTAACAATATCTGGGAGCCAAGACAGTATCATCGGGAAGAGAGTCACTCCGTGACATGGGGAATACAAGCATGCACATCAAAGAGGGAAACAGCAGAACAGAGGAGAGAGGCATAAAAGAAACTCGGTAGAGACTGTACTTAATGGCTTCTCCTAAGCACAATCTCCCAGAAACACTGCTCAGCTCTTGCTTTTAGCATCTTCCCGTGTTTATCCACTATTTTGGATAAGGCCTCAATGCAACACTACACCACTTCTTGCACCTTTCCCTAAGGAGTAACAGCATGCAGTAACTTTCTCACAGTTACAGATTATGGGAAATGTGAGAAGGCTTGAATCAGAGCCCAGACCTCTCAATGGACATCAGATTTCCTAACAGACTTATTTTATTGCAGCAATAGCATCTCCTCCCCACCCTCATTTCCCTTGCCTTTAAAAAAACAAAAAAAAAACAAAAAACAAAACCAACCTCACAGTGATGCTTCCAAAACGACATAGATGATGGATTTACACTTTTCTGATGCTCTGGCTTGTTGTCCAAGCCAGCCAGCTCAGGACCCCTGCCCAGCTCTGTACATTGGGCAGCAAGGTTACCTCCCCTCATGTTTCTTCCAAGCTTTCTCTGTCTCAGTTTCCCCAGGGCCCTGACCTCCAGCTGGACATTAGCTTCCTGTGGTCCAAATCCATGAAGCTGTGTGTTACCCACTGCCCTTCTAATCCCTCTTTGTGGAAGTCTAACGAAAAATCATATGTAGGTCCCAAAAGAACAGGCTGGGAAACCCACTTGACAGCACTAATGACAGGAGTTAAGCCAGAGGTCCCAACAGGCAGAGTAATCTAAGCAAAGTGGCAAATTACACAACCACAGAACTGAAAAAAAATCCAAGGGATCTTGACAGAACTGAACAGAGACTGTTAAATCCTCTAAATATATTCTTTCAGATGGGCAGCACTGCTGAAGTTTCTCAGGTTCTATTTTTGCAGGTCTTTCTCAGCAAACACAAGGACAATAAAGTCACTTCTTCATCGAAACCTTCCTCCTTTTTTGCTAATATACGCCCTAATTCAGGAGAGGCCTAAAGAAGTGGTTGTGTTTACAAATACTCAAGAAACAGCTTCTGCTCATACACAAAAACATCCTGATAACAAAGATAAGAAGAAAGAATTTAAAATAAAGGTGCTTGTTAAAGAGAAGTGGGTTTGTTTTAATTTTTAAAAAAAGTTACTCAAATTCTACTTAAGACATTACACGACATTTTTTGTCACTACACTAAACCAATCTTTACATGATGCTGTGAATCACTGTAATTTAGTCTCAGAAGTGAAGCTTGTGCAGTTCTACTATAATAACTGTTTCCAGATGGAGAAAGCAAAATCAGTTCGAGAGGCGCTAGAAATAACGAAACTGAACGACAGGGAATGCCAACTGTGTCGCACAAGTCATGAATTACACTGCGAGCAGAAGCATTAATGGAAGATAAAATAACGTTCCAAACAATTTTTTCCAAGTGAATGGAAGGAAAAATTCTCCATCTCCTCTTCTTGAGCCCCAAAAATGCATTTATAACCTTGCCTTGGCAGTAAAAGAATGTAAAAAGTAACAGGACACTGCTCACCCCTCCATCAGATCCTCCCAAGGACAGTCCCCTCTCTGCTATTCTGCAGGCAAAACAATAACCTCAGATGAGAACTGAAGTCTGATTATTTTGTCCTTTAATGTCATTATTTACAACATATAACTCTTCAGTAAGTGGTATTTGATGCATCAGATATAACCTGAGTTAATAGAAGCTGCCATTTATATGAAACAATCTCACAGCCTGTCATAAAAATGAAGTATCTATGTTTCAGAACACTTCTGAGCTCATAGCCCCCTTCCATAAATCCCCAAAACACACCCAAAAACATTGTCTTTCAAATACATTCTGGCCAAGTAAGATTAAACACAAAAAAACCAGATCTTGATTCTTCAGGGCAGTACAAATAAACCTGTACAATGCAGAAATGCTGTATCAAAATCAGGAGCACAAGTGAATCTGAAATCACAGAGTGGCCAGCCTGACTCGTGAACAAAGCACTTCTACCAGCTGCATGTTGCTTCGGGCATTACAGTGATATTCCCCACAACATGATTATCAAGCGCAAATCACACTCAAAGCGGCTGATAACTTTTCTAACTGCATAATTTGACAGTGTCCCCTACTATTTGATTAAATCTCAGCACTCAGTGTTCAGAGAGGACTACAGGGTCAGCACTAGCTCATAATTACCCAGAGACTCAGCTGAAAGGAGGCTTATGTTGTTTATTCTGTTTTTAAAGACCAAATGGAACAGAAGGCCAAGAGAAAATCCTTTAAAACTTAATTCATTTTCCTTTCTTCTCTACAATACTCAGGCCCCACAGAGCTAGGCAGAGTCCATATGAAAGAAGAACTGCCTCCACTACAGCAAAAAATGGAAAATGGCTTTTAAAAAAAGTTTGGTCTTTTAAACAGCTTAACCCAACGTCCTTCAGCTACTGAGTTTTGTGCTACACCTTAAACACTGGCACACTGTCATTAAAGTAAGTGCTTGTAAAAGTTAAGAGCTAAAAGAAATATTACCTACGGATTCTTTCAGCTTCTTCCCTCGTGATTACTGCATCAGTCACACCTCTTCCACACTTTCTAGGAGTGCACCCTGGAACACAAAGAAGAGAGAAAAGAAAATATTTCAAACAAGGTTCAAAACAAGTTTCTATTAATATTCTCCTACTTCCCGTTCAGATCCACAACATTCAGAAGGGATATCGGCAGTCTCTGAATATTTTAGATCACTTCAACTACAATAAAGTCACATTTCCATTTTGATGCGCTTTGCACTGCAACCATCAGAGCAAAGATGACCCAGCCAGTGTCACTGCTGCTTCTGCACAGGTTCAAGTCCCCGGGATTCCTTAAGCTACATCACTTTCCCCACCACAGCTGGTTGGTGTCATTCCCCTGAATGACACCAACTAAGGTGACAAGTCATTTCCTGCTACATCTATAATGCAACTCAACAGAACGGAGATGATCAAAAGGAATGAATCCTAACACCCGAAGTATCACAGCCACTGGAGATGGGGCCATCAGGCATGACCCAGAGCCTCCAGTGCTTACGTTAAGCAAAATGCACAGCATTGCTGTGCCTTCAAAACCAAACTACTTTTCTTGTTGATCTGAAAGTAATTCTTAGAAACCTTAAGTTTGTTACAAGTTTTTACAAGTTTGTTGCAAACATTGGGATTACAACCGCCTTACTGATCTCCCTTTGCACACCTACCACCTCAAGGTAGAGAAGATGGCCTTTGGTTAGGAAGGTGAAATCAGCCGCATCTGTATCTCAATGGGCATGCAGCAAGACAGATAGATCCAGTCATTTTCCCAAGTGCAGTAGGAAAACAAAAGCTCCTGTTTATATAACTAGTCTTTGAAAGGATGACTATCTTTGATGATCTTCATCCTACCCACTCTGTTCCAGCCTTTGGACAGGCAGGACAAGAACTGGAAAACTCAGCAGTGCCACATGGATCCTTCCATCTCAAGCTGACAGTTCCCAAATCAGCCAAGATCTCTAGCAACTAAACCCCCTTAATATAATTTGTCCACATATAAAACGTTTTCTATTACAGTTCATGCAAGTCTTCAACCCAAAGGTCCAGTACACACCACTCTTAGGTACAATACACAACATGAAGAATTCTGTCCCAAAATCAGTCTCAACAGAATAAAACAACTCAATTGTCCTGGAGAAAAATGACATGACATTCTTGGATGACAAGACACACTTGGATGCAGACTGCAGCAGATGTAACACCAAAGCACCTCCATGCCAATAACAGAAAAGACAATGCCACTCACAGGAGTGAAATCACTACTTGACAAAAAAAAAAACAACACTGAAAAAAATTGATTAGAACACAAACAGTTCAAGCCATGAGGAAGATATTAACAACAAGGGTTCCTGAATAGGTACAGGATCTTTATGTAGTATCAGTACATGTATTAACAGTTTATGTATTAACACAAAGAACAATTTAACTTATGCTTTGGTATTCAGCCTAAATCATGCAGTTTGTTAACAGAGATTCCTGTAGTCAGGCAGTAAGTACCACTGTATTTGTCCACTAGAAGCCACTGAAAAAGCAATGGCAACATAAGAAAAACCCAGTGAATTTGAACATTCCAACTGTACTGTCACAAGTACAAAAGCAGCATATCTCAGATTTGCTCAACACCCTCCCCCCCCCCCCCAAACATGAGTCAAAAGGAAGGAAGCCACATTCTGTGTGGGGTGTCTATACAAACACACCTTGAAGGGCAGCTTCTTATATGGGACTACACACAAAAGTGCCTTGAAGCAAACACCTTGGACATATACGATGATTAAAAAATCTCTTAAAATTAATTGCAAAGAAACTTAATGTTAAATTTTAAAAGCTCATGGAAGAGCAGCAATAGTTTCAGGTGACTAATATACAGAAGTTCTCATGAAATTAGAAGTCTGGTCCACAGCAGTCTTCAGGCAAGAAGAAATAAGATCAATACTGAGCCACCAGAGACCCTGAGATGTCACACTTGGCGCTTCACCGGGGAAGATCCATATACAGATGTAAAGCCACAGCAAAGTCAGGATGAGTGTATTTTCTGACATCTGCCAATACAGTTACTGTTGCTGAACCAAGCTCCTCTTCAAGTACTCTGTGCTCATCAGAATGCAAGAGGGAGGGGGAAACTCCTAGAAATAAATCAATCAATTCACCCATGCAAGTCAAAAGCATCGGTCTGCTCTGATAAAGCAACTAGCAATAACAACGACCACAGACTGACAGAAAGAGAAATTCTGCCACAGCATGAGTGCTTTGGAGGAATTTCCTCTCCGCTTTACTGGAAATACCCTGACCTAGCCCTCTGATTACACCAGTGTTTCAAGAAGAGAGAGGAGCAACGAGAAAGACGCGTGGGTGAATAGGCCGAGTACTGACAGCAACATACCAAATTACACGCTGCTTCCTCGCTCGAGAAAAGACGCTCGTTTGACACACATTGAAATCGAAGTCAAAGGCGCCCACACCAAGCAGACAGTGTAAATATAGGTCAAACCAACTGGATTACAACCCAGATAATTCATCATGTTTTCTGACTACCCAGCAGCAATTCACTGAAGTCAGCTCAAGATTCAGACTCCCGGAAGCGCACACGAAGTTATCTGAAGATAACCTAGGAAACTAGCAGGCTAAAATAATGCTGGAGATGACATTCTTACGCATCCATTCATCAATGCCAGCACAGAACCCAGCACTGTGACAAAAATGAACCAGAACCCCTGCTCCCCTAGGTCACTTTTCTCCTCTCGACCCTGTCGGCTAAGGAAATTAGTAGAATCAAAACACACCATTCATCAGAAACCATACTGCCTTGATATAAAAAAAAAAGCACCAAAAAAATTAAAAATTCTGGCAGCAACCCAAAGGTGCTTTGCATATGAAAGACGAACACTTTTCAATACAGTACCAGCCCCAAAGGTACAGAATTCAAACCCACGAGGGCTTTATAGGTAGAAAGTTGGTCTAGGTTAGAAATTTGGGAGTGGAGAGAGGGGAAGCTTCTCTGCCATGTTTCAGGCGCATTGCAAATATCCCCTCTGCAACCAGAAAAGCCAGGCACAGTTTTTGTGGAAATTTGTGCATTTCTAAATCTCAATTCCAGAAGCCAACAATTTGCAAGTTAAACACCACAGATCTTGCAGTAAAAATGCCAGCGTTGGAAGTGCTGTGTTCCTTTGGAGCGTGTGAGCTAGCAGGTCTGAAAAGCAACAAGTAGCAGCCATCAAACACTGCAGACTGTTTCTTGTCTGCCCTGACAAAGACATACACATTTTGGGTCACTGTGCCTTAAAGGCTCCAGCATACCTTCCGCAGGGGCAGATTAAAATCAGTTACTCACTTCTGAATGCCAGGCTGAAGAGCATCTCAGAAGCCAACTGACAGGGACGAGCCACCTCTGCCTCCAGACTAGCAAATACTCACCCGAGGAGCGAGACAGATGGCTGAGGCAGTAACAGCTTCCAGCACCCAATTTTAAACTCAAATGCATGCAAAAAAAACCACCCAGCCAAAGAGGAAGCAATTTGGGCTGACAGAACTGAAAAAACCCTACCAAACATTTCATTAGTAGTCACAAGACCCACTCAAAGACTCGCAGAACAACAATCATCAATCACAAATCACATAACACGGTCCACACTGTACCCAGTGTTCTGTTGGGTATAAAGATGTCAATGATGTTAGGAAGCACAAGTTTCGATATTGGCAGTACACTTTTTTTATAGTCCTGTTAAACAAGACTAAAAAAGACTGAGATATTTTTCAGGAGTTCAGAGAAAGGTGAACACAGAAAACCAAGGAAGCTCTCTTGGCTAACAGAGACAAGAAAAGGTGAGTGACTTTCCTTCTGCCATTGAAAAGGTCTCTTCAACGCATGAAAATCAAAAGAAAATTGTCTTTGAGATGATAGAAATTGGATATTCAAGGAGAGAAGAGGTAGGAAGAGTCAATTCAAAGGAAAATTTCAATACTCCAGGACAAATCTGTCTAAATAAAGTTTTCTTTGTACCACATTCTGCAAAAACACACTAGCAAAGACTTCTGATTTCAGAAAAGATTTGTACTCTCTATTTCCAGCTGCAAACAACAGCACATTTTACCCTTTTGGAAAGGTCAGGACTGGAGAGTCCAGATTTGGCAAAACTACAGGGTTACCTAGGACAATTGTTACACGCCTAGGGTCTCTGACAAAGAGCTGGCAAAGACAGTACTGGAAGCAGGAGGTGTTCTGAAGGCAACAGCAGAAGCTTTTCCAAAGTGAGAAGGAAAATAAGGAAAAGATAGTCCGGTCAGTCAGGTACCAATGGTAAAGCACAAACACTGGATGAATGCTAAGGAAAAGATCAGTCTGTTTGTTTGAAAACAGTTTTAGCATTAATAAACGTGTCATTTTTGTCTACAAGGCCATGGTAGATGGGAGCACTGAAGTGTTAAAAGCACACTTGGAGAACCTGCACTCAGGAGAAATTCAGTTTAGGATTACAAAGCATCCAGTAGCTTCCACAAATTTGTGCCTAGTAGACACAAAATCATTCATTTATCTAGTAAGGCACTCAGCTTTGGATCCTAGAGTTGTAGTCTTTCAATCAAGGTAAAGGAGGAGCATATCAAAACATGCAAAACCAGCAGCACTCCCTACTGCCCCTGCTCCTATTGAGTACACAGAAAACAGAGCATAACACAGGGGTCCAACTGCCTAAACTGCACCTTGGTCTTCTATTTAAAGCGGTACTTGGCCAAGAACCATACGCTGCCAAGACCGAGATGATTCACATGAGAAAAAAGCCACGTTGTGATGCCCCCCTAACGCAATCCATCCCAAAGCAGGACAAGAGGAGGCAAAGGTTGATTGGATGCCATCCCCAGAAGCACACCAGCAGTCTAGGTGCTAGACCTTTTCCTCCATTGCTCACAGACTTCTCTGCTTTCCACATCCACTAGTCTCTGGAAAAGCATCTTAAAGCTGTCTCCTGGGCAGTGATCATGGATGCTTTGTGCATTGACACAACATGTCAGCACACAAGAGACTAGACAGGAGTTTCATCAGACACACTAGTAGCCCCAGCAGTTTTAAGTAGTTAACCATGCCTCAGGGCAGCAGAAACAGCCAGATCTGGCTGCAGGGTTCAGAATGCCAATGAGACTGTGCTCACAGAACACCCCATCTTCTGCAAACACACTAAGCTGAGTGCTTGGCCTCCAGAAAATAAGACATTTTATCCCTGTACAAAGCATGTTTACTGGCAGGCAGCGCTATGGAAATCAAGTCACCGCTCCATGACACCACCTATCATTTGAAGCAAACTAGAAGCTGAGTTGCACTAGTTCAGTTTGAAGCAGGGACAGGTGCATAAATAAAAAGCTCATCCCAGCTGCGGAAACTTTACAGCTGAGCATCAGACACCAAGTGATGATAGGAATGTGCCTCCTTCTGACACAGAGCCAGCAGCTGCGGATGTCAAGCCAGAGTAACGACAGAGAATGAAAAGCTATTGAGTGATAGAAAGCTATTTCCAACAAAGTGACTAAAGCTCCGGAGCTGGATCCAGTTTGGCAGAAACCCGTAATCCACATTTACTGCCTCACTAAGCTATCAGTAACACACACAAGGAGCGAGGAGCCCAGCTTGGACGCGACAGCAAGGCTCAGCAGCTCACCGCCACCCTCTTGTGGGCACAGAGCAGGGGACAGGAGTTAAAAACCAAGAGCAAACACAGTTTCAACCAACCACTTCACAAAACAGATGTTCACACGTTTCTAATAGCACCGATCTCTTTCTGAGAGCATAGCACAGGGGCACACATGTAAAAACATCTGCTGAAAACCAAAGTCAATCACAAGGGAAGAAGCAGCAGCAAGCAAACATCTAATTAGAAAGCCAGAATACGAACTCACACAAGATGACTCCCCTTTGTTCCTCCTGGGTTGGTGCCAGCCATGTCAATCAAATCCAAGAGGTCACCCTTCACCCTCCAGTTAGCATTTGCAGAGCTTGCTCCCCGTGACATCACCAGAACAGAGACCACATTCATTCCTCTCCCCAGGCACAGATCCCCTCAAAGTCCCTGCCTTCCTTCTGAAGGAAAGAATAACTGATGGGGTTGCCAAGACCACAAGTCCACAGCTCAGAAAATTCCCCTGCCAAACCACAAAAGGGAAAAAATAAGGTTTTGTTGGTTTTGGGGGTTTCTTTTGATAAGCAGAAGCCCTAATAGCAGAATGCAGACAGTTTAGCTTTACCTCAGTCATAACTATCAAACCTGTGGCAACACTGGCTGCAGTTTTCTCTGGCCTTGGCACTATGCAAATAAAGCCAATAAAGCCTTTCTCCTTACAGCAACTGTGAAAAGTTAGAACATGTGTTTTGACATGCTCATCCAAAAAATCCCCCTACCTGAGGAAGTTTTCCTGCTGGTAGCTTCCTGACAGCAGCTTTCTTGGCCTCAATAACATTTGGGATGAATCCTCCCCAAAAAGATGCTACAGTGGCAGCACTGGGGAAAAACTATCTGCCCACAGACTACACAAACTTTTGGTTTATGTTACAAGCCTTTCAATCAACAGCACCAGCACCAGCCAAGAGAAGAGGACAGAGGGCATTGCTTCCACAGCTTTGGCACACCACACCCAGGCTGCAGTTTGACAAACACTTTCTACCAGAATCGGCACTGGAAGTTAGAAATTGTACAACTGTAGAACAGCTCAGATTGGAAGGGACCTCAAAAGATCACCTGGTCCAGCGTTTGATGGGAAAGTGAGCGTGGGTGAGATTATCTAACACCCCGTCCAATTGCATCTTGAAAACCTCCAGTCATAGGGACTCTACTAGATCCCTGGGGAGGTTGTTCCAGTGACTGACTGCTCTCCTTGTATAAAATATTTCTCACATCAAGACAAAACCTTGCCCAGTGCAACTTGTACCCCTTGCCCCTTGTGGCTCCTTGTGCAGGGAGAACCTTCATCCTCTTCATAGCTGCCCTTTAGTACTGGAATACTATGATGTGGTCCCCCTGTGCATTCTCTTCTCCAGGAGAAGAGACTTAACTCGTTCAGTCTTCCCTCACAGGGAAGGTTCTCCAGCCCTTTGATCATCTTCGTTCTTCCTCAACTCCAAGCAGCTTCTTCCAGCCTCCACACTGCCTCCAGCTTTGTGTCAGCAAGTGTTCTGTCAGCCACATAACGAATCAGATAACACAACTGATTTGCCTAAAAAATAACTCAGAAATACTTTTTTTTTCAGAAGCAAAATCTTATCAGTCAACACACAGCTAGACATACAGGTAGGCTGACAAAAAGCAAGAGCAGAGCTGCTCTCTGGCAGCAGTACCAGCTCAAAATGTTAATCAAAAGACACTTTGCAAATCTGAAAAAGAACATCAGCATAGCTTATCCATGCAGACTGCAATTTTCTCACTGCTTTTCATCAGAGAAGATGAAAATCTTCCCTTTCTCCAGAAGATCCAACATCAACACTCCAAAGAAATAAGTGCCAGGGGAGACAAATACTAACTTGAGAGAAAACAGGCTCAGCTGAAAGAAAAAGACAAAGGAGAAATGCTTTGCAGGAGTATAAAAAGCTGCCTGTGCAGACACATCTCAAAACAAGCATATCAGAAGCTGGCAATTGCGCCATTATCACCTGCTAGCAGTACAGACAATACTCTAAATCAGTTCCATTCCATATCCTGTATGGTTATTCACCAGTGACAAACTCACCACAAGAATCAACAGAGTATGAAGAGACACTAGAAACAAATTTAACAAAAGGTTTATTTCCCACGGCCAAAGCAAAGCAGCTTCAGACGAGAGTTATGGAGGAACGACAGAAAAACCTCTCAGGTACAACAACTTCTGGGCTGGCCCAAGAGGCATGAACATTTGGGACTTTAAATGATAAACACGGTGACCGGGTGTTTGCTAGAAACACAGGAGCCTTGCAGCACACGTTTGGTTTAACAGACTTAGACAGCAGTCAGCCTGCTGCAGTCCTCTGAAGACTGCTTCATCCCACCTCAGACAATGCTACCCAAATACCTTCAAATCTTTTGTGGCTGTCGTAGTCCTCAGAGCAGGGGATCTCAATGAACTTGTCCTGCAAGTTCTCACTGTGACGAGCGATCACCTCGGTGACCCCATCCTCGGCGCTCAGGTAGCTCCAGCTCAGGAGGCCACCGACCGCAGCAGAAGAGAGGAGGAACGCTGCCTTCAGCCACCTCCACCGTGACCCTTGTTGGCCTCTGCTCTTCTTGGCACTACGGAAGGAGCACAGCGACAGTCCCACGTCAGGAAACAACACGCTCCCGAGCCGGTGAGGAACGGCTTTGGCCGCTACCCTGCCCGATACCGGGGAGACCCGGCCAAGGGCCAGGGCCGGTACCCCGACTGACCCTTCGTTTTGACTATACACACACATGTTTATGAACAGACGCAGTTTTTATCCCTCTCATGCCCAAGGGTTACAGCCCGCCTTCCCACAGTA